TTATTAAAATCATCAGGACAAATATTCTCTTTTTGCTTAAGGGTTGCTAGCTGTGAGGTGTTCGAAGAGGTCATTTCGGCTACCACATGGCAAGATCCTGGAAGAGTAAAGACCACATACAAGAAAGAATAGTGCGGAGAGATGTGGAAAGACAGGAAGGGATGGTTCTAACAACAATATTAGTAGCTGAGGCTAGTTATAGCTAAAGCTAGATATATTCCTGAACCCTGAACCTCCTAGCTACACGGAGCCAATAAATTCTTTTTTTTAAGAGACAGAGACAGAGACAGAGTGGGGAGGGAGGAAGGCTGGGGGCCGGGGAGAGAGAGAGAGTCTCAAGTAGGCTCCATGTCCAGCACAGAGCCTGATGTGGGGCTCAATCTTACAAACCCGAGATCATGACCTGAGCAGAAATCAAGAGTCGGACACTACCCAGGCACCCCACAATAAATTTTAGTTTTGTTTAAACTAGTTTGAGTTGAATTTCCGGTGTCTGCAACTCAAAAGAGTCTCAGCCAATTCACAGATCCGTAATAACACATACTTGCGGGTCTGTGTGTTTTAAAAGTAAGCTCTACACCCAACACAGGGCTTGAATTCACGACTTCAAGATCAAGAGTCACATGCTCCACCAAATGAGCCGGCCACGCGCCCCTGTAACAGCATATACTTATAAATAAAATTGTTTCTTGACAGGAGAAATATTGAGTAGGTCAAATTGTCTAGCTAATTTATCCTTTAAAAAAGCCTATCTTCTTTCACCTTACTGAAGCCAAATTTTGCTTCAATTACTTCTATTCATGCCTTTATTTAAGTCTATCTGGAAGCAAATTCTGAGGATGAGGTTAACACTGCCTTACTGCTGCAATGGCTTTGCTTACTGAAAGCCCACTTTGTGCAAATAAAACTGCCTACTGAGCACTATTTAGGGCTGAGGAACTTGAAGTATGGGCACTAATTGTCTCAAAGTCGAAATCACCCAAATCTTTGCCTGGTTTCTCCTGTTGATTTGAACTCACTTTAATAAAAAGCACACAAATTGCTCAATTACATATTTGAATTAAGCCATGGTCTGCGGGACCACATGACTGGGGATTGTTGATTTAGAAGGGATCATCAATAATTAAATATAAACTTCCCTGGATTATGCCTGGAAGGTGGGTGGATACAGCACAAGGAAATTAGGGGTTCACTTATAACCAGGGCTAATTTTCAATGATGCTTTTAGCAGAAAGATGTGGTTCAAGGAACACTGGAAATGGCTGCTATGCTAGAGAACAGGGTGTCAGGGCTCAATGCAGTCTTGGCAGTTTGGTGTTTCTAAGGGAGCAATTAGATAAAGTTTCAAATGATTTAAATTTTGAAGGAAATGCTGTGTATGCTTCTATTTTACAGATAAAATGTAAAGACTAGACATAACAAATTCAAGGTGAAAGATCAAAGACTGCAGGGAAAAAATAATAAGCTTCTTCTGGTATTTCACATTAAGGAGGGCTTAAAAGCTCAAATTTAAACCATATAAAAATACCCCTTTAAATGGTATCATGTTTCTGACTTTATATCAGTTATCAGAGCTTGGCCTTTTAAAATCAGCTTATTTACCCTTAAAGTGTAACTAACTCCTTGATTGTTTATGCAGGTCAGATACTGACCACTGAGAGAAAAAGTCTGCCCACAAGGGCAATTTTTCTGATCAGTAATAATTCTGCTTATAGAAATAAAGATTTTTAGGAAGAATATAGAGAAGAAAGAACTGGAAAAACAAGAATAATACCTCAGATTCACTCAGGATGTTGTAAAAAATGACATTCTAGAGGTGCTTGGGTGGCTTAGTCAGTGAAGCGTCTGCCTGCGGCTAAGGGTGCAACGGTCCTGGGATAGAGTCCCACACAGGGCTCCTTGCTCAGTGGGGAGTCTGCTTCTCCCTCCGCCCCTTCCCCTGCTCTTGCTCTCACTCTCTCTAATAAATAAAATCTTTAAAAAACAAATGACATTCTAAAGGTCAGAAAGCAGATGGTAACTTAAGAATATAGTAGTCATGTCAATGACAAAGATGGTGTGTTAAAGGGATAGACTTCATGGTTAGAAATCCATTATCAAAGGAGGCACTGGGGACCAACAGAAAATGAGAGAAGGTCATTAAACGCATATACTAAAGAAGTGTTGAATACAAACAAGATCTCTTTGTTTTCTCTTTTACAAGGGGACTCAAAAATTTGTTTGTACTGAACATTAAATGTATTTAAATACCCTGTCCAGGACTACTTGTCTAAATGACAGAGCTGGGACATGAACCGAGATCCCATTACTCCAAACCCACTGCTCTTTCCATCATACTAAGCAGCCCCTTCCCTGGATCTTCATGCTCTCTTCTCCTTCATTCTCCTGGTGTTGCTCAGATTAAAATCAAATTAGGAAGGGTATACCGATGACCGTGAGTACAGACTTATTTATGTCCTGTGAACATTTTAAAGGGGATAGTTACCTACATGGAGGAGAGCTTGCTTTGGGCCACTTTCTAGGTGAGATTTGCCAATTCAATTCAAAATCAAGAGGGAGGTGAAGAGGAGATGAAATAGGAGAGGGAGAGAATCACACATTTAGGATTGGAAGGGAGCACAATTATTCAGTCCAATTTCCTCAATTTTAGGAACAGAAGGGACTTTCTCAGATCCCAATGGGGTAGGTAAATGGCAGAACTGAATCCATGCTGACCACTTCCTGGCTGCTGCTCTGGGGAGAGATAACTGTAACCCTGTCACATTCCATACTTCCTTGAGACTGGCTCTCTGTGCCCCCTCTCCTGCCATAAATGACAGGAGGCCCACGGAATTCATCTGAATAAAACATGGTAGGTAGTCCTTGGATACTGAGGATGGGGTCACTGCCTTTTTCCCAAATCAATTCCTCTAATATTTACTGAATTTCTACTATGTTTATATTATAGAGCGTATAAAAATTTAAGGATATGACTAATATACAACCCTGTCTTCAAGAACCTTATGCTTGCTGAGGCACGTCAGTCTCTAAACAATAAGACTATTATAAAATAGTTTAGTTTCTAGGTTAGTGGCTCACAAGCCCCTTGAGGTTCCCAGACCCTCTATAAGAATCTGATATTAACCATGGATCTGCTCCCCAGAAAAACCCACATATTTTTGCACCTATTCGGGAAGATTACTGGATCTCGTAAAACCCACCTACTGACCATGAGTTAAGAAGCTCTATTCTGAGAGCCTCAGTGTGTACCTCTACACAAAAATTCTCTGAAAAACCAAAGTTGAGAGAAATACTAATTATCCCTTTCCTTTGATGCAAAATGAATAAACTTTAAAAACAACATGCCACTCCATGTTAAGAAACTGGAAAGTAAAGAAACTGCTTTCTCCAATATCATCCGAATGTCCCTTCTACAAAGACTTGTGTTCCCATATCTAATTTTTGTGTGTACATTATTACATAAGAATGTATTATTTGCATTCAGTTTCTGAATATATATATATGTATATAAATTCAGTTTCTCACATATAAAGTTTACATTCACAAGGATAAACTTGATTAAAAGCAGAAAAAAACATGGCTTATATAATGAATTATTCTATTTCAATTTTTTAAATTAATTAATTTTTTTTTACCTAGTTTGAAATGCTGTTTCTAAGGCTTTGATCCTGAAGAGAATAAGTCATTAAGAGGAGCTGATAATACTGCAGCACAAGCACTTGGCTCCTCTCTACTGAAAAAACTATTTAGATCTTTTGGAATTTAATTTCTTAATAAAAAAGTATAATAGTAACAAAATTCCTACAGAAGTGGGAAACTGTACAATCAGTACTGAGGTGTCATAAGTCATTTCTTAAAGCTTTGAATAAATCAGAATAAACATACAGCAAGCTCTTCAATACATTGTTATTTGGTTATATTATAATGTTTTTAAAAACTGGCTCTCTTGTTACATATTCTTAAGGAAATAAATGGACTGACACACTCCTGAGTATACTAGCAAAGTGGACAAAATGATAAAGAAAACTAGGTAAAAGGACAGAAAAGAGATTCCATTTAATTTTTTAAAACCTTGTAAATAAATACTGTTATAATTCAATTTGCTGCTTTGCTAATGTTAGGTTAAGAAAGTTACAGAGAAGGAAATGTGACTTGGAGGTTGGAAAAAAGAGATTTGGATTTATTTGTTACTAGTTTTTTTGTATTTTATTTTTTTTTTAAAGATTTTATTTATTTATTTGACAGAGCGAGAGACAGCGAGAGAGGAAACACAAGCAGGGGGAGTCGGAGAGGGAGAAGCAGGCTTCCCGGCGAGCAGGGAACCCGATGCGGGGCCTGATCCCAGGACCCCGGGATCACAACCTGAGCCACCCAGGCACCTCTTGTTACCAGTATTTTAAATAGATTAGAAATAACAAATTGTTAGCAAATAGGCACAAAAGTTTGGAGCAGGGAAAAAATTGATTATTTATGGAACAAACATAAACTCTAAAACATCAATTTATTCAATTTTTCCTTGAAAATGGAGAAGAGGCCAACCCAACCACAACCTCAACAAGCACTGCGGGGCAGTACAGCTCAAGTTTAAAGGGACCTCATGCTAGTGCTAGGTAAATTCTGATTAAAAAAAGAAAAATCCATTAAAGAAGAGCCCATTTCATTACATGACAGGGATAAACACCTTCATCATGACAGATCTGTATGGCTCTTAAAAGAATATGGTTCTTTTAGGGGGCACATTTTCAAACAAATGAAGAAGCTGAGTGGTTTTTTTTGAGAGACCTAGGGGAACAAAAGAAAGACGAGAAAGGATATCAACAAAGACTTTAGGCTCAACGCCAATAAGGAGTATTAAGACATTTTTTTCTGAGTGTTGAAAATAAACCCTGACGTTAGCAAAGGTACGTGTGAGCTACATCATATATGATACCCTTCTCTTCAATAACACCATCTAAATGAAGCAAGACATACTGAAGGGATCAGCGTGAGCAAACACATACCACAGGCTGTTTTGTGATGTCCACCAAGTCCTTAAGATTATAATACTGATGTTTCTCAAATGCTGAAAACAGCATGTCCAAAACGTGTTGTTTATCAGCTCGAGCCCGTTTTCCATCTTCTTTCTTTTTCCTTTCATATTCAATCTAGGTGCAAACAGAAAAATAAAGGCATTAATCCAACATGCTCACTCTGAAATAAATACCCCGCCAAGCAGGGAGCTCGATGTGGGACTCGATCCCGGGACTCCGGGATCATGACCTGAGGCAAAGGCAGTTGCTTAACCAACTGAGCCACCCAGGGACCCCCAACTTCATTCTTTTCTAAGGCTTTATTAATGTCTTCATTTGCTCCCAAATAGCCTTTGTTTGCCAAATTAGAACAATTCACTGTGGCTACTGAGTCAGAAAGTCCAACTTGCAGTTTCTTTTGTTTTTGACTATCTCAAATACATTAAAATAGCTTCTCTGACAGATGCAGTTTGGTAGGTGACATCTTTCAAAATTGAGGTTTTTCAGGACAGACAGGGAATTAAAAGGCAAACTGGTTACAGAAGAGGTTCTTTAGGAAGTGCGAAGTTTGAGAAGCACTGGTAAAAGGAAAAGAACGCGGGCAGTGAGGCATTTTCTCTTCCCAGCTCTGTGTGACCTTGAGCTTGTTTCTTCTCCTATAACATGAAGTAAGCTTACTAACAGGAAAGGGTGAATTTATACTCAGTACTCAGGCACAAGCAAACTGTTTTTCCAAAATCTCCATTTTACCTTAAAAATTCATGTGAACTCTAAATTCACCTACATAATGTACCTTTATTTGTAATACAAAAATAAAATCTCTCATTCAAATACAAATGACACTCTAGGAACAAGTGGTATGTTTGTCCTGTAGTTTTGTGTACCTCTATGGACCCCAGTTTGAAAGCAGTAGCACTAGAAGAATGTATAAATTCTCTCCTACAGAGAGATCTGATCCAGGGATTTGATCACTTGAAAAAAAAATTACATTTTATTAGTTGGCCTACTGAATGGGAGAAGATATTTGCAAATTATATATTCAATAAGGAGTTAATACCCAAAACCTATATAGAACTTTTACAACTTAAAACCAAAACTCTCCACCCAAATCAGATTGAAAATTGGGAAGGGGACCTGAGTAGACATTATTCCAAGAACAAACACATGGCCAACAAACAGAAGAAAAGATGCTCAACATCACTAGTCATCAGAGAAATACAAACAAAAACCACAATGAGGTATCACCTTATACCTGTCAGAATGGCTAAAATCAAAGACGCAAGAAATAACAAGTGTTGGCAAGGATGCAGAGAAAAGGGAACTCTCAGGCCTTGCTGGTGGGAAGATCAATTACTGTGTCAATTACTACAAATCTGTGAAAAAAGGCATGGAGGTTCCTCAAAAATTAAAAATAGAAATACCATATGATCCAGTAATTCCACTACTGGTTATTTACCCAAAGAAACTGAAAACACTAAATTAAAAAAAATGCATCTCTATGTTTACTGCAGAATTATTTACAATAGCCAAGATATGGAAGCAACTTAAGAGTCCATCAGTAGACAACTGGTTAAGAAAATGTGGTGTGTGCGCGCACGCAAGCACAAATGGAATATTATGCAGCCATAAAAAGGAGGAGATTGTGCCATTTGCAACAACACAGATGGGACCTTGAAGGCATTACGCTGAGTGAAATAAATCAGACTGAGAAAGACAAATACCATATGACTTCACTCATGTGGAATTTAAAAAACAAATGAGTAAACAAAAAGAATCAGACCTATAAATACAGGAGAGCAAACTGATGGCTGCCCGAGGGAAGAGGGGTGAGAAGACGGGCAAGATGGGCCAAGGGACAGCGGAAGGCTTTCAGTTATGGAATAAGTCATGGGAATAAAAGGTACAGCACAGGGACCACAGACAATGATACTGCAATGGCACCGTATGATGACAGAGGGTAGCTGCATTTGTGGTGAGCTGAGCACCGCATAATGTACAGAGAAGGTGAATCGCTCGGCCGGGCACCCAAAACTGATGTGACATTGTGTGTCAACTGTACTCAAATAGCACACTTTTTAAAAAAACTTACTCTTCACTGCACACATGTAACTTATATTCACTCCCTTCAGTTGGTTTAGTTTTTAACTTTTAAAAAAAACTCTGTTTTGATAAAGCACATTAGAGGAAATACATATCAACCGCAGCAGCCCACTTAGTACATAAGGCATCCGGAGGCTGGGTGAAAGCTGCCGGAGAACAATCTCCCGTGCATCAGAGGGAATTAACTATAATCTAGAGACTAGTTTCAAAAATTAAAAAAAATGAAATTCATTTCAAAATCTACAACGAAATTACTGAATAAATTCCAGCCTGATAATAGTCAGGCTTACTCTCTATATTTTAACAACAGAGATTTGTTATAGAAGAGATGAAATTTAGTTTCAAACTAAAAATGTATCTTACACATAATCAGACACTTTCAAATTAATGGCACAAGTCACAGACAACAGTGAGTATCCTTCAGTGAAGTAAAATTAGGAGATAAGGAAAAAGAACCAACTTGTCTTGATTTTTTGATATGTGCATCTTGGGAGTAAAACTCAAAATCCATTAATCTCAACAGATTAAGCACAGACTGTGTGCTTGGACTGTGCTAAGATACAGGTGAAATACTGAGTCTCTTTCAAAAGATATCCCTTTCTTAGGGCTCATATATTAAAATATACAGAGGGGGCCTTGCACATTTTAAATATAGTAATAGCAGAGCACAGAGCCACCTCTGGATGCTGTGGAAGGTGCTGTGACAAAGGGCTGATAAAGGGCTGTGTTGCTGGGGAGGAATGTGGCTGGACTCAAGATTCTCTGGGTTGCAAGAACATGAAAGAAACAACTATGGACAGCTACAGGGGATTTGTCAGAGAAGAGCAGAGTGACTAGAAGAGCTAGAAGCAAGACCAGAGAGAAGAGAGACCAGAGCAACCCAGGAACAAGGAGAAAATCCAAGTCCTCCCAATGTGGGGAAGATGGAAAAACAGACGAAAACATGCATTTAATGAATACAAAGGCAGAAGCAGAGTGGCTGTCCCAATTCAGTGAGGAAGGAGGCTGAAGAGATAGCAAAGACTAAAAGGGATGGACTTGAGGTCCATTCAAGAATTTTCTCTCTCAGGCACTTGGGTGGCTCAGTGGGTTAAAGCCTCTGCCTTCAGCTTCGGTCATGATCCCAGGGTCCTGGGATTGAGCCCCACATGGAACTCTCTGCTTAGCAGGGAGCCTGCTTCCCCCCTCACCCTGCCTACTTTGATCTCTGTCAAATAAATAAATAAAATCTTAAAAAAAAAAAAAAAGAATTTTCTCTCTCTAGGTCAAAAGAAGAAGAGAAGTGGAGTGCCTGGCTGGCTCAGTTGGTACTGTGTGTGACCCCTGATCTCAGGATCATGAGTTCAAGCCCCATGCCAGGTGTGGAACTTAGAAAGAAAGAAAGAAAGAAAGAAATGGAGGGAGGGAAGGAGGAAGGAAGAGAGGGAAAGTAAAGGATAGAAGCAAGAGAATAGCTACATCAGGAAGGGAGAAAGTAAGCATGACAGGCCAGGACAAAACTTACAAATCCAAGCAGGAGGGTCTTTGGATTAGATACAGAAATATCATGGAATGCCTTAAGGCATTAATATTTTAAACCCTGCTTTGCTGATCAATCTCTAAAACATATATTTTTACTGTTTACAACTGTACTTAGTTTGCATCCTGAAACTTCCTTCCACTGTTGCACCTCATTTGAATAGTTTTCAGTTTTGCATTAAGATGAACAATCCAGAAAAGGTGACTGCTAAAAAACAGAGAAATAGAATAGTTTGGACTAGGAGATGAAGTTGGTATAATCTTTTCCTCTACTCAGGTGTGCGGTAAGAAAAATAAAGGGAGACAGAATCAGATTAAGGAAGGGTGAAGAAAGCCTATAGTAGTCCCAGAGGCTTAAGTGAGATATGGGACAGAGGCCACCAGTCCTCGAGAAAAATAATACAAAGGAAGTGAGGACCTCACAGAGGTCCAAGGTTAGGCTTTTGTACTCGGCATGAAGCCACAGTTGCACGATATTCTGTCTGTCCTCCCATCCCAGTTTTAATTTATGCTGAGAGAAGGAGGAAGAGTTAAATTCAGGAACCAGGGAAGAGAAGCGCTGGTATACTCAGCTTCCACCCTTGGTAGACTCTTCCTTGTGCGAAATGCCTGGAGAAGCTAAGAAGATTAATAGGAAAAATGTTTTCAAATACAGACGATCTCCAACTTCCAATGGTTCGATTTCGAATTTTCCAGCTTTATGATGGTGCGAAAGCAGTATGCATGCAGTAGAAACTGTAATTTGGTTTTTGAATCTGGATCCCTTCCTGGGCTAGCAATCTGCTGTACAACCCTCTCCCGCGGGGCTGCGCAGTGGCCGCCAACTGTAGCCTCCCGGTCAGCCGTGCTATCACCCAACAACAACCCAGACACAGAAAGCCATTCTGCTTTACTTTCACAACAGTACTCAATACATTACAGGACACTGCATTATGGAATGGGGCTTGGTGTCAGACGATTTGGCCCAAACGCAGGCTAATGTAAATGTTCTTAACCACATTTCAGATAGGCTAGTTTAAGCTATGGTGTTTTGGTAGGTTAGGTGTATTAAATGCATTTTTGACCTATGATATTTTCAATTTTGACTGAAACCCCACCAAAAACAGGCAGATCTATAAAGAAATCTGTTGATGAAGCCAGATGGCCCACTTCAGAGGGGGCATACCCTCTAACTAGCCAGGGGAAAGAAAAGCCTTCTAAGTGTTTGTTACCAAGTTGTCCCAACCACAGAATCACATGCCAGATCTGAGAGGGCCTGAATCAAAGGTAAGAATTTAGAATAAGTTGGAAAGGAACTTTGCTTTAATCTCAAAATTACTGTATTCAACATTGATGCTTCCTTACTTTTGGGGGGAAAGGTGACTAGAAATGCTCTGTGTTAATTGTGTCTGTTGATGGCTCAATTCCTGGGGGGCAGTGCAACCTAACTTTACTTTTGATTAGTGGAATAAAAACACTTAAAAAGTATAATCTGAAAACCCAGGCATATAAAACAATAACAGCAACAATAAATCGGC